AGAGAGAGAGAGAGAGAGAGAGAGAGAGAGAGAGAGAGAGAGAGAGAGAGAGAGAGAGAGAGAGAGAGAGAGAGAGAGAGAGAGCTGGGGTTGATGGACATGGATTTGCAATTTTCTTTGTTTCCTCCTTCATCTTGTACATAAGTTTTGGGCTCGATATCGGGCKATTCGCTTTTGTTTTGTCTTTCGATATCTTGTCTCGTCTTTTTCTTTGCTTCTTTATATGAGTTTTGATTTCGGTTCGACGATTCGCCCATCTTTTGTTTTCGGCATCTTTGTCKCGGCACATGTTTGCTTGTAATTAGTTGAGATCCTTCCTACAGGGTGTTTGATTGTATGAATGGATGTTGCTTTGCAAGGAATGAATAGTGTGTTTGTCCTCTCCTCTTCCGCTTCTCTTCCCGTTTTTCGCTCATACTGAACAAGCGATCATAAGGTAGTTGACATTGATTGTGATGTTTGATGTATGCGTATGGAATGACTAACGATTGCGGGGTTACTGAATGATTGGATGAACTACGTGGAAATTTTGCATCCGTATCTGGTCGATCATCCTGTGTGGACACGTGTAAGCGCGGTCCAAATAACGCGGCCTACACGTATCTAGACGCAGTGATTCACGACCAACAACATCAGGGTAGGCACGAAATTTCTGAGCGCCACGCCCGGGAATTCCCCAGCCAGTTAAACGCGCACAAGAGAATTCCGCTGTAATACGGCTGTATCACAATGACAAGATGACATATTCGAGGGACTCAGAGTATTTCGAACCTTGGGTAAGAAAATATCTTAGGTAGAGACGTCATTAATTTCCCAGCCTAACCGAGAACCGATTGTTCTCCAGGGAGTTTCACTGTGCTGTAACCAACGATCCAAGGTGCCCCAATCGCCCGACTACGTACAACATGCAATACTTCATATCTCCCGGCTTTGTTGTCGTCAGTACTAATTTCCCTCCCTTCCGTCTTCTCCTCCCATATCACCAACTCATTGTGGTACCGTGGAATTCCATCGCCCCGTATTGGCCCCGCACGCCGTGTAGAAACTGCAGACGACGCAGACACCACAGAACCCCTCGAACTGCGGCGCCTAACCATAACACGCGGCGACAGACGTGACATGGCTGCACCCGAAGGTCCGACGCCTAGGAATCGCGACCCTTCCGAACGGGCCTCTCCCGAACCGCCGTCGCCAAAACCGACGGATCGGACGACCTTTGATGCACCACGCATGCCATCTGCCTTAACCTGTCCCATAGCCTTATTGCACTCGTGCCCCTAGAACCTTGCCACAGGAGATCTCAGTTTTGACCTGGGACACCACCCCCCACTTTCCCAAAAATCCTTGGCACACCCCTTTTCGCACTTCCAGGCTCACATTCCACTCCGATCAGGAAGTCGCGCCGGGCGTGAGGTTAGGGCGTCACAGGGTCCTACACACGTACTACAGCCTGAAAAATATCCCTTACATGATTACGAGCAAAATTATGAGTTTTGAGAATAGAATCCTGCCTGTGCGTGCTTGTGAAGACATTCACAAAGTATGGGCAGAACCAAAGATCAACCAATGCAGGATGAACATATGCACAGCAGACGTCTGAGATATGGACCGACTCACATGGATCCGACTCACACAGACATCATTCCCCACACCAAGACCCGTGAGATGGTGGGGTTGGAGGCCATACAAGGAGGATGCTCCAATTCCGTACAACCATGCACAGACGAAGGGGGGGAGAAAAGACGATGGAGGTGGGAGAGAGGGACAATGCCTGATGTTGCCAAAACCCCAAACTATGTAACAGGTATCGAGATACCGCCAGACATCACACAAGCAGGACCCCCACTTTTCGGCGCTAAGTAACCATGAATGATCCTGAAATTAGGATAACTCGGCCTTCAGTAATGTGGAGTTTGCTTGAAATGACCTTATGGTTTTCTTATAAATTGAGGTGAAAAATGGGGGGTCGGTTAACAGGCTCTCTATTGACCTTATAATTAAAAACAAAATAAAAGAAATAAAGATCCACCAGCAAATCTGTGTCGGGCCTTATAATTAAAACAAAATAAAATAAATAAAGATCCACCAGCAAATTTGTGTCAACGGATCCTGAGTTCGAGTCCTACGGCCTCGCTGCACCACAATCGAAAAACAAAAATAATTGACGGTTGTCAAAGCAAATTCGACAGCCTCCATTCGACAGTTTGCCCCCCCTTAGCCACACAGCACTATAGAGTGGACGTACTTGTGAATGCAAGATGGAAAACGAAGCATGCACCTGAGGGTACGACAAGCATTAGTCCATCCCAACCTTACCGCCACTCACCGAATTTCGAAGAGAAGTCGACGGCGCAGCCAAGGAGTGTGGAAAGCATCCGAGTAGCAGGCTGGGGATTCAACAACTTTCGACAGGAGGTGTGGAGAAACATTCTCTGACAACTGGCGAATTTTTCTCTTGTCTC